AAGCCCCCCCCTCTTCAGCCCAAAGAGCAATCAGGGTTCTCTGCCCTGTGGGAAGTCCAAGGACCACCCTCCTCCATCCAGGTCTCGTAAGGTGAGCATCCAGACTGCCTAGGCTCCCACAAATCCAATACGTGCAGTAGGCTCAAAAACCCATTGCCCATGTTCTTGAGGTCTCAGTAGCCCTCATTGTCCACTATGTTCAGTGAGACCTGTTTTAACCCAGGCTTTTTCAGACCCAGGCCAAGCTGGCCTTGGTGAGTTCCCGATAGAACATCCCCATTGTCTCAGTGTGTGGTTGCACCCCTCGCGGTCCTGAGTTCCTTGCTCGTGCTCACTCTCCTTCTGCTCCTGATTTGGACCTTGAGATTTCAGTCCGGTGCCCCTGCCCTTCTTTTTAAGAGGTCACTTTGGCAGAGAAGAAGCAAGCCAGATAGCCCAAGGTCATGGGCAAGGCGAACACCCGTACAGAGTTTATCAATTGAGGGTCCCTCTTCCCAGATAACTCTAACTTGTGTCAAGTTGACAGAAAAACTAACCAGCACACTCCCTGAGGCACATGGACCTGTCTACCATGGCGTTTCCAGCGTTGCTTAAGGTGACAGCAGCCTTAACACTCTGGTCCACACATCCTCCTTATGTCAACTAACAAGTCACAGGGAGCAGTGACGACATTGAGGTCCAGGGACCCTCCAGGTCCACCCTGGAGGTCCAGACATGATGTTTAGTTTAAATAGACAGCAAGGGGAATGGGTAGCTGTGCAGTCCAGGTCAGCGTGTGGTCTAGCCTGGCCCTGATCCATCACTGTCTCTAGTTCCTCTCTCAGGCTGTTCTTATGAGTACTCAGAACTGTGAGAATCCTTCCCAGGAAACAAGCTCCCCTTTGGCTGGCACCACGGTCCCAGTCTTACTTCTCCCAGCATGAGATTTCCGGGGAAATTCCAGTTCTTCGGTTGAGCCATTGTTTCCACAGCTGATGAAGGGGGATAGACTATTCACTGCTGCTCAGCCCCCTGCATTAGTCCAGGCTAGCCTCTGCCCAGGCTCTCTCTGCTAATGGGTTTCTCTATCTCTCCCCAGTTCCAACACCCACCCCCCTTTCCTCACATAAAAGGAAAGCAAGCAATCCAGAGACTTTTCTCCATATCCGCTCAGTTCTCAGGATAACAGGAACCTCAGACCCCTTTTCCCGCTCGTCAAGGGAAGAAACCCAGAGCCCCCAGGTGAGGGAGCGGAGGGCCGAAGGAGGGGCGATATCCCCCATATGACCACCACATCTGCCCCTCAGTTCGTATGGGACCGGAAGGGGCCTGGGTGTTGTGGTCTATCCCTGGTTTCTGGTTATCTTCCAGGTGGGCTCATAGGGCACTGTCTCTTTGCCATCTCTGGACATGGTGCCCTGAGAAGAAGATGCTGGACAGAACCTTCCCAAATCACTGATGGGAAAGGTTCCCGGAAAGCCAGTGGCCTGGAGTGTTAGCTTGGAGATAATGCCCATCTCATAGATAGCGGTCCAGGGTTCCAGGGAGTTTTGCTGGTTCCCAAGACTCAGAGGATGAAATGAAGGGTGCCACAGGGATAGATCTCAAAGGCCCCCCACTTCAGTGAGCCTACTACACACCATGGACTCTAACTCAGACCCCACCCTGGTCGACCCTCCTCACAGGGCACACTGGGTGGGGTGGGGGAGTGTCACTCCTCATTCACTGTCGTCCTCTGAGGAGCCAGTGCGGTGACTCAGCAAACATTCACGCACTCGGTCTCCTCCTGGATCTGCAATGGGCACTAGGGAGCATGAAGGAACCCACTGGTGTTATTCCCACCCTGGAGTGAGTAGCTAACAGCCTGGGACACAGAGTGAAGGAATGTTCAGATCCCAAAAGATACGTCATTGGAGCCTCTGGAAGGGCCCCAGAACAGCTGAGGCCCATTTTGCACCCCTTACTCCTGCTGTGTCTCCTGGTGGCTGTCTGAGGGTTCAAAGCTTCTCCTGAGTAACTTTATTAACTTCCTAGTGAATGTTTGGTTTGCAGACAGGAGAACTGAAATGTTATTCATCACAGAGCAAGGACGCCTAGCTCCAGGCGGTCTGTGTAAATGCCCGCTCGGTTACTGATTGACAGGCCTTTCTGGGGGAGCAAACACAGAGAGAATCCGCCACGCTCCTGGAGAGGGTCACACTAGCTCATGCTCTGCGTCTCCAGGTGTCTCGTGCCAGCCTCCTTCACTTACCCAGCCGGTGTGACATGTGGCTGTGTATCCAGCTGTGTATTAAGAACAGCCAGCTTCCCCTTCCGAGCCAGCACCCCTGGACTTTTAGACCGCAACTCAGAATTGTTGTCTCCCGTTTTGTTTCCCCAAAGCCAAGTCTGGAGACAGACAAGGACCTTTCCAAGGTCACACAGCAGGCTCAGGGAGGTGGCTAGGAAGGCCAGTTTCAGTTTCCAGAGTGTGGTCTGCAGCCTGCAGGGCCTCAGCAGCTGTTCTGGGCCACCAGCTGCTGGCCTGGCTGGGAACTCCTCATCCTCCCCCATCACCCTTCTGCCTGGCCCACCTGGCCGTTCCTCCCAGCACCACCAAAGCTTCTTCCAGGAAGCAGCAGCGAGAAGTTCTCAAAACAGGAAACCTGGTCTTGAGATGTAAATGCCGGCAATGGCACTGTGAAATTATGGGAGGGTGGGACCCAGCAGCCCAGCAGGCTTGGAGAAAGAAACTTGCCAAATGGGGCCTGAGTGGTGCTGGCCTCTGGGCCTCCCAGATGTGAGGCCCATGACAACTGGGGAGCCTCCACCCTAACCCATGCCCTGTTGCCATCTCCCTTGTCCCTCCAGTGTCTGCCTGAAACCCTAGGCAGTAAAGTTCCTGATTGGAACAGCAGAGGTGAACGGCTATGGCATTCACCAACTGGGCTGCAGGTATGAAGTCTCTCTGTGAGGGTTGGGTTACCACCACCCAACTGCAGTTCTGAGCGTGACCACTTGGCCTCTGCAGGGAGGTGATTCACTGCCCAGTGGCGCGCTCCATTCCCGAGCAAGGTGTTGAGGGAGATGCGACTCATCCTCCCTTTGCCATAGGACCCACCTCTGTCCAAGGAGCCCCTCATTTTGGTGTGGGTAGGGTCAACAGAGCTACTCGAAGCTAGTCTGTTGGGGCACCCTCTTTGTTACTGAACCGGGAGAGCCCAGAACTGCTGGGGTGTGGTGGAGGTGATCCCCAAATCTGCCAAAGGTTTTAGAAAACCTGGAGGCCCGTGCGAAGAGTCCTTACACTTTAGATGAACCAGCGTCGGTCCTGGCTTTTGATAGGGAAGCTAAGTCCAGACAGGACAGGGCCCCACCCAAACCACCCTTCCCAAAATGGGCAAGTTGCCCTTACCCTAGGTGTCCCATACTTAAGTGTTAGTGAGTTTGGAAAGGGGCATCTGGAGATGGGAATAGATATAACTCAAGCTGTGAGGTCTGAGGCTTCTTGAAAAAGCGTCCAGAGTCTTCCCAGGAAATCAGGCGCAGGCCAGCGATTCAGGAATCGCAATTTTAGGTGACTCTGAGTAAGTCATGTGCTCCCTCTGGTGGTATGAGGAGAAATTACACCCTAAGGCAGCTAGGGTGTAAGCTATGTTTTGGCGAGGCAAGGGCCACTTTCAAGACTCGGTTTGCATTCAGTAATTTAGTAGCGTTCTGCTGTGTGGAAAGCCTTTCAGTGGACTCTCTCTCAGTGTGTGAACTTCCTGGAGTGCAAAGGGAGACGTCCTGGTCCAGGAGCAGGTCACAGAATCAGAATGTCCCCTGGAGCTGTGGTCCTCAGCCCTGGGCTGGCTCACTGAGCATCAGCCTGGGTGAAGGTGGCACCACAGACCTTGAATACCTCTTCCTGTCTACCTTGGTCCTGAATCCCAAAACCTTGAAGAGCTTGCTTGGCTCCTCCCCATCCCACCCCTGGCCAGACCTGCTCCAGCTCTGCTCAGTCCTCCCACCTCTAGAGGGAGCTCAAGCATAGCGGACCCTAGTTCTGCCTGAGTGTGTGAGGTCACATTTTGTCAGTGGCCTGATACTGAGGCTAGTAACCAGACTTTACCTAGCTGGCTACTGGCCTCAACTGGAGCCTGACCTTCCACCTCAGGCTTCTCTATCTCTTAGCTCTCATAGCAAAAGGCAGGCAGGGTGTCTGTCACCTTGTCTAGACAAGTCACTGCCTTTCTTGGGGGGGGTGATGTTCGGTGTCCCCTTCTTTACAATGGAATGGTCTCAAAGGATTGTCCACCCCTGAGGGTGGGTGGGTAGGTGGGCTTCAGAGCCTAGGGGCAGTGGGTTAGTGCAAAAGGCTTAAGAACAGAGTGAAATGACCTGTTCACCCTGACTGTGTGGTCCAGCAAACACAGCCTGTTCCTTTCAAATACTGTCACCCAGGGTTCTGCTCGGATACACTGAGATGCAGATAAGGAAGCCAGTCACCAGATGGTGCCAGCATCCTGCCAGCCCTCCAGTCTCCTTGGAGATTTCATGAGAATGGAGGGAGGGGGAGTTGGATCCCTTTGTAGGTCTCTGCTCAGATGGACGGGGCAGGAGGAAGCAAGTGACAGTGAACTCACTCTCATTGCTCACTCCTGGCCCAGGGATGAAGCAAGCCAACACCCAAATAGACAGGTAGGAGTGGGTCCAGCTGGAGTCCCTTGGGCCCCACCCACTCAAGGAGGGCGGCTTGGCAGATGTGCTGGGGGCATGCACCGAAGCCCAGCATCAGGCCTTTCAGACTCACCCACACTGGACAGCAGCACACTTTAGGAAAACCTATGAACATAGCCACAGGCAAGCTACCTCTTAGGCGGTCAAGAGCACCCAAGAAGCAAGTTCCCCATGGGAGCACCCAGGCTTCAACAGCATCCAGCAGGACCCAACAGACCCAGTCACCTTCAGCTTGACACCTTCAGGTCAAGCAGAAGTCAAGCAGAGGTCTCTGTCCCCAGCTGTTCAGGGGCGAGTGATGAAGGGCCCATAGATGATCATACCAGGCCTACTTTCATTGGCAGGTACTTGCCAGAATGATTCATTGAAAACCAGTGAGACGGGGCTGCACATATACCCCAACTTGGAACAGGAAGTGGGGTGTGAGAGGAGCTGGGGAGGGGAGGAAGGAAGTTAAGGGTCAAGAGGCATGAGTGGATGACCATGAGGGGGTCATAGCGAGCCCGGCACATCCTTCAGCCTGTGCAGGCTGTGTCGGGACAGTGGAGTACAGCGGGGAAGATGGGCATCCTTAGCGCCCATGCACTGGTGGGCACTGGTGGCTCTGGAAAGACAAAGGCAGGGTTTGAGATGGGAGGGAGGCCTTTGGGGCTGGCAGCTTTGTCCCTGTCCCTCTCACTATTCCCAGCAACCCCTCTGCAGCATCCCTACTCCACATATCCCACTTCAGACCTCAGTCCTCACTTTAACATTCAGGGGACAGCCCACCCGACCCCCTCATGTCTCTCTGATTACTGCCTCTCATTCATACTTACTCTCTATGCAAACCCTCACCACCTGAAGGGGACATACCTGTTGTCACAGCTCATCCTCATTGACCTGTCTGGGATGGGGAAGAGTAAAGAAAGGATGAAGGGAGATGGAGGGGAAACCGCACCCCCCCCCAGATTGTGAGTCCCCGCCTCCTGGTTAGGGAACACTTCCTGCTCTCCTCTTGCCCCACCCACCTTGTTAGTCCCCCCCCCCCACAGCACTCACCTGTGCCTTTTATTGCCCCCACAGCGGAATCTTTTGCCTTGAAAAGAGATGGTAAAGTTTGTTGTGGCCTTTTCCAAGGAGGCCCTGGAAGACTCAGAACTGCTAGGCTTGCCCCCTCCAGCATCATCACAGTGTGGGGGCTTGGAGTCTGTTTATATAGAGCTGGCCCACCAAGCAATGAGTCAATGAACGGTTGTTCACTGCACCAGAACTGCGATGGACTGTGAACATGTTTGGAAGTGGCAGCTGGGACCAGAGTTCATGATGCCACCAGCACAATGCTGGGCACAACAGGGCAGCTGCTCAGTACACGCTTGGAGGAGAACAGGCCAAATCCAAAGTTCAAATCCCTGCCTAGGCTCCTAACTTCCAAGAAATGCACGTCCCCTAAGACGGATCCAGGAGCCCAGCTTTCAGGTGGAGTGGCAGGAGCCAGAGTGTGGGGTCACTCCAGAACACAGAAGCCTGTTTGTTTCACCAAGGGTCTCCCTGATTGCCATTCTGGTATTTTTCTTTTGGTTGCAACAATAGAAAGCAACCAGCATTTACTAAGCACTTGCTTTTGTGCCGGCCAGGGCTGAAGACATATAGGACATTTGTCTTCCCCTAGAGCCCTCCATGCCTACCTCGGACCCTCTTATAACTCCCTCACGCCTATAGCTGTCTTAGGATGCTAGCTCCAATCTTACAAGACGGATGGGATTTCCCCCATTGAACAGGGAGAAAATGGAGCTTCTCCCATCCTCAGAGTTAGGATAACTCAGTGGTAAATCCCAGGGCCTGGATTCCAGCAATATGGGGAAGGGTGAACATCAGATGCACCTGGGGAGGGGAGCTACCACGAGTCTCTCCCCATGAGCCTCATTGTCCATCTCAAACGCTGACAATGGGGGTGGGGGTACCGTCCCTCAGTGTGCCGAGATTACCTAGTGGCTAGGGTGGCTAGGGTGTGGCCACCCCAGAAGCTGCCCAGATGGGGTTTGGGTCGGCCCTGCCTGCTCCCTTGACCTCCTCTGCCCAAGGGTTGCCCAGTCAGACTCCCTTCCTCAGTTTTCCCTCCCAAGGCCACTAGGGAGCACCCTGAAGGAGGCGGGAGCCTGCTGTCCCCTGCATTCCTCTTCGGGCTGGAGTGTGGGTTGGAGGCTGGTCAGTGTCCTCCTTACTGTATGACCTGGGAAATGCACCAATCACCAGTCTCCACTTACTGAGGAGGATGAGGAGCCCCACGACGAAGGCCAGGCCCGCAAAGATCAGGCCCCCTTTGCGGACAGTCTCGTAGTCTTGAAAGAGAGGAGACATGGGCAGTGGTGTGAGCATGGCCTCTACCTCCCAAGTTCACCCACCAGCAACCCCATACTCTTGAGAGCAGATAGCAGGGACCCAGGGATGGGAATCAGCCGATGGGGTAAGCAGGGGAGGACTGGCTTACCGTAGTGAAATGGGTCCTCTGCCCCCTTGGCGCTGCCACCTGAGGAGAGAGTTGGGGGGCGGGATGAATAAGACATCACAACCCCAAAGCAGTGGAAACGCTGGAATTCTCAAATGATCCCTAAGTGCCCAGGTGGGCAAAGGAAAGCCGGGTAAGAATGGCCTGAACATCCACCCTAAGGCTGCCTCACACAGACATGCTAGGTTCAGAGGCAGGGCATCTGTTGTGGAGATCTGTGTGGGCTGGAGGCGCACAGACCCAGCAGAGGGTGTGGTCCTCCCCAGCTCCCTGCTCTGTATCACGAGGACAGGCCAAAGAGCTGGGTTCCCAGGAGGCCCCTAAGTGGCCTCTGCTGATAGAATCCCACTTCCTCAAGGAGGAGCAATATCTGCGAATGGAATGAGTGGGAAAAACAGAGTCTCTGCGGTCAGCCAACAGGAGGAAGGAACCATGCGTCCACGGCTGGGGTAATGACCTTGGAAATGGAGGGCAGAAGAGGGCAAACGTAACAAGAGTGAGGCGTGTACACTCAGTGTCTGCATTATCAACCCCAATGAACAGACCTTTGGCTCAGACCCCCTGTGGGGTGCTATGGTTATTTCTCTCATCCACAAGGGACTGAAGCCTAGAGAGGGTCAGAGAGCCACACAGTAAGTAAGAGGTGGAGCTGGGATTTGAACCCAGGCTAAGGGTCACTGTGAGTCTAAATGCTAGGCTTCCTCACAAGTGACAGGTAGGAAGACTTGTCCACAGGCTGTGTAGCCCTGTCCCTGACTCCCGTGGCCCCCTTCGTTCTGATGGAGGCGAATATTCTGCTGTCCGCGCCCCCCCCCCAGCTCAGAGCTCTCACTCCGGGATAGCAGGTGGGACACTGCAGTCACCTCCCCCATGCCAGCTGCACTCTGCTGCCCTGCGGTGGACCCTCTTGGCCCTAGGGGGCTGAGGCCCTTGCCAAAGGAATGAGCAAGTTAGCAGTTCCCAGGCAACTTTGAACTGTGTCCATGTTGTGGTCACAGATAAGGCCTGGTGAGTCCAGCTGTTTCCAGTGGCCAGGGACGGGGCGCGGGGGGGGGGCAGTCAGTGCCTCACAGGTCTTGGGTATGGGTTGTTCAGAAAGGCCAGAATCTAAGGAGAAGCCTTAGGAACCCAGGCTTTGCTTCCATGCACAAAGTCTCCCCAGCTTCAGTGATAGTCAAGGTCACGGAGTGGGGGTTGCTAGTAGTCAGATCAGAGCTAGGACTCCCCTTTCAGAACCATTTGATGAGCCACTCCCCCACCAGTGCTCTAGGCCAGAACCCTCAAGATATGAGTCAGTAGGGGTCCTATGGATCCCAAAACTCAGGACTTTTCCTGTGACCCTAAGCCAGTTGGGGAAGGCTGGCCAGAAGGGCTGCTCTTCCCACTCCCAACCCTGGCAGTCACTGCCCACTGTGTGATCTTAGTTCTCTATCCAGTACTAGAAAGTCACACTGGCAGGGTGTGAGAGGCTGAGACAGGAGAATTATAGTGAATTTTAGGTTATTCTGGACTATACAGTGAGTTCCAGGCCAACCTGAGTTACAGAATAAGATTCTGTCTCAAAAACAAAGTCACACACTCACATATATACACTCACACACATACACATGCAACTCATGCACACGTGTACACACACACTCACATACACGTGTACACACATACGCACACTGACACACTCACATATACGTGCACAGCACACACATACACATGTACACACACTCACATACATGTGTACAAGCACATGCACTCGCACACTCACATGTACACACACATGCACTCGCACACACATATACACATGCACACTCACACACACACTTCTGCTATTCTGCTTCTTTTCTGTGGAGGTGGAGAAGTTAGGGTCTTTTCCCAAATGCTAATTTTCTTAGAGAGTCACCAGCTGGAAACCCTGAGGTAAGGGAGCAGGAAAAGGAGGGGGGGGTTCAGCTGCTCACCAAAGGCAGTCCCAGAGGGAAAAGGGGCTCAGCTTCCCACCGAAGGCAGTCCTAGAGGAAAGGGGGTTCAGCTGTCCACCAAAGGCAGTCCCAGAGGGAAAGGGGGTTCAGCTGTCCACCAAAGGCAGTCCCAGAGGGAAGGGGGGTTCAGCTGTCCACCGAAGGCAGTCCCAGAGGGAAAAGGGGTTCAGCTGCCCACCGAAGGCAATCCCAGGCAGTCCTGCCAACCTCACCAGGCACTACACTCACCATCACCAGTCGACAGCCCTGTCATTTTTCCAACCACCAGGGCTTCTCCACAGTCTTCCTGAAGCCTCTGCTTCGGGGATAGTGTCTGCCGTGGGGTGGCCAGGACAGAGGTGGGGGACATTAAATATTAACAGTGTCAGGTAATATTTACCCTGGTCACAAGAAAAGCTGAGTATGCTCAGAGGGGCTCCCGCTGAGCCAGGCAAGGGGGAGGTGTTGGGGGGGGGACAGAGGCAGGGAGGGGCTGGCTGCCGTCTCCAGCCCCTCCCAAAGGAAATTTCCAGAGAGCAGGGCCCGGATGGGCAGCAGCAGTATTCTTCCATCAGCTGGCGAAGCCGAAGCCGCAGCCGGGCTGAGGAAGTTGAAGGTTCAGGATGCGCTCACTGTGGATGGCACATGGGGGGGGTACTTTGTCAAGCTGGGAACCTGGAGTCCCTTAGTCCTCGGAGTTTCCTGCCAGTTTCTGTGGATAGCACCATGACAGCTAACATTCTCATGGGGCTCTCATGTTTCCCTGAGTGGTTCCTAAAGAGCCTGCCCTGCCTCCCCTCTCACCAAAGCCCGACCATGGCACTGCTCTCTCTGACAGCCAGTCCTGGCTTCTCTCATTTGTTCCAATCCTGGCTCCACTCACACCTTGGTCATCTCTGACTAATGTCTTATCCTAATGCCCGGCACTCCCTCACGTGGCTGTCCACCATGCACTTAAAGCTCTTTCAGGGCCAGGCCCAGGCTTGTTCTTATGGCATAGGAAACATTTTCTATCTGGCTTCTCCCTTTTCGGTTAGCTCCCTACTTGCCATGAGTGTCTGAAACACAGAGAAGTTAGGGGCTTTTCCGAAGGTCACACAGCCGGTGAGAGTTGAAGAGAAGGATTGCTGCTCGTTCAGATTCAGGGCACAGGTGCTTTGCCTATGCTTACCACTTTATTGTTAGTGTCCCCTTGGCAACTATGGTGTGGGTTTTCTGTGAGTACTATACAGTCGTTTATAGGTTCTACACAGTAGAAGGGGCCTTCAACCGGCTAATTAATGTTCATCACAGGCAAATGATATATAGATAGATACAAAGACGGTAGATGCATAAATAGCCAATAAGACATACATATATACGTATATACATATGTGCATGCATACAGGCTACATAGGTGATAGATGATAGATTGATGGAGAGATGATAGCTAGGTGGATAAAAGATGGGTGGATAGATAGATAGATAGATAGATAGATAGATAGATAGATAGATAGCAGATGGACAGACAAAGAGACAGACAAACAGATATCTACTTCCCTGGTAGTCCTCCTGACGGGAAGGGCTCCATCTGTGCATCCTCCTCAACCAATGCCAGGGCACTGATAGCTCTGTTCACACCCTGGCTCCACCACTTGCTGGGCATTTGACCTTTGCCAACTTGTTTACCTCCCCACGCCTTTGTCTCTTCATCTACGCAGTGGGCAGGGCACAGCACTCAGGAAAGTGTGTGGTGTCTGAGGCAGGAATATCAGAATATAGCCTAGGTCAGCGGGTGCCACTGTTCCTGCATTGCTTGGAAAGTGACAGACATTAGCCTTTCATGTAATAGTACCCTCGGAAAGCCAGGCACTCTCTGCTAAGTGGGTGAGAGGAGAGAGCACGCGCCCTGGCTTTGGAGCACTCATGCAGCTCTCGCGAGCTTTCAGAGCCCAGCGACACGCATACAGGAAAGCAGACAGCAGCCTGCCCTGTGATGGCCTGGACCCACATGCTGGCTGTCAGCACGCACAATCCCCATCTAAATTTCTGCTTTCTCTGTCTGACAGAGGAAGAAACTAAAGCTGAACACTCGCTTCTCCAACCATGCCTAGAGAGGCTTAGTGCCATAGCCTCCAGAGACCAGAAAAAACAGATCAAGGAGAGGTGAGGCCCAAAAAACAGAAAGGGGAGAGCCAGAACTGGAGTGCCGGCTGGGTCCCAAGGCAGCTGGTGAATCTGGGGGACACTCTTCACCCAATGCAGCAGCACCCACACACCTTATATTACCTTGGGGACTATCTCTGTAAACCACTATGAGTTCTCTCTGGAGTAAGAGATGAAAAATAGGTAGAAAGATACATGACAGACAAAAGGAAAGAATAGTGGATTGATAGGGAGATGGGCAGGCGGGCATGCAGGTAGACATGTAGGCAAAGCCACAGGAAAGCAGGCTGACAACTACTTTCTATTCCAGGCACTGGGAAAGTAACCCCTCCATGGCCACATGATTCAGTAAGGAGGAACAGGACCAGCAAGCATCATCCCGTTTTACTAGGATGCAGACATAACCTGCTAGGGAGCAGGCAGTCAGAAAGTATGGGGACTAAGATGTGACTCAGTCGTCCGAAGCCAGATGGATGGACACACAGCTGGATGAGGAGGCTGCTGATTCGACTTCCCCAGCCTCTGGCTCAGAAGTGCCCTGCGCATCACAGCAAGCCCGGGACTCGGGGTTGAGGTGTCCTTATTTAGGGCAGCCTGTCTTTTCCATTTCTCTTCTCCCACAATTATGAGGAGCCAGTAGGTACATTTGAAAGTGATTAGTGGTCCCCTGAATCCAAGTTGGAGAGGGCAAGGATGGGGACAGGCTTGGAAGACTCACCCAGGTACCACCTGTCCATGGCAGGCGCTGCTGGAAGCGTCTGAGGTACACAGGAGCCAGGGAGTGCCTGTCCTTGTCTGGGGGCCTGGGAGGGAAGAGTGACACTCTCTCTGTGCCGGATGACTGAGCTGGGACAGGAAGAATAAGGCAGAGGAGGGGCTGATGGGGGAACTGTTACCCTGCACCTGCCTGCCTGGGCTGGTTGGAGCAAGGTACCCACGTGAGGGTAGGGGAAGAATCTCCGGACTTCACTGGTCTGAGTATCCCAAAAGAAGGGGATACTCAGAGCAACAAAGTAAACTGCAGCTTCTTCCCTTCCCCCACAGTGAACGTGCCGCTGCAGGGTTCCTCGAAGGGCACTAGCCAGGACACAAGCTGACAGGACCAGAGTGTCGCCTCTCTCCTCCCCTCCCCTCTTGGGTTTCAGGTCCACAGCTGAAGGAGACAATCAGAGGCAGGTGTGGGTCCCTAAGTCTTCACTCAGGAGATTTTATCCTCCCTGCCAGTGGGCCCCACCCTGATGCCTCTTGCACACACACACACACCCCAGCCCGTTCTGAAACCCGGAGCCCCCTGAGAGCAGGCAGGAAGCTGCTCCAGGTGCAGTGGGTCTTTATGCAGGAAGCTGTTCCAGGTGCATGGGCCAGAGATGGGCAGTGGCTGGGGCCACAGCTGATTTAAGGGCGCTCCCATGGTGGCCTGTCCTTCCTCCTCACTTACACTTCCTCACTTAGTCCTGGTGATACTCCCAATTGTGATGCACCTGTGGGGTCTCAGCGTGAGTTCCCGCACACAATGATGTCCTCTGAGGAGGACTGGACTTTCTGTCAGGGAAACAGCTGAAAGGCAGACTATCTTCTAGCCTCCAGGGCTGGGATGGCACAGGAGCCAACAAAGGATTATAGGAGAGCCCTCAGTGGCTCCCAGAGTCCTTGTGACCTAGCCACTGTGACAGGCTCAGAGCAAGGCCACTACAAGAAGTCTTTGTGGACAAGATTGGACCACAGGGTCTCCTCAAGACTCCCAAGCTCATCCTGATTGGCCATTCCACTGGGATATCTGCAGAGCACTGATGGTGTTAGGTCTGGTCACCTTGGTGACTGGCCTCTCTGTTGCTCACAGCAGTACCCTGGGAGCTGGGGAAATGACACCCGCAGGGAGATGGAACCTGACCTCCCATCCGGGTTCTCTGGGTAGGCTGAGGTCTGTCTTAGGGCTCTGAACTGGCAGCATCTCCGCCTCCAACCCCAGACCCTTGTGAGATGAAGGGCAACTCCACCCAGTGACCTTGTCACATGTTCCCAAGTGAAAATTTTAACCTTCAGGTAGCCTGGAGCCCTGTGTGGAAATTCCCCAAACCAGGCACTGGGGAAGTTCAGGAATGTTGCCTGAAGTTCAGTGGTCTCTGTAGACCTAGGCAGGATCCCTACTTCCCCACAAGCCCACCACGAGCTCCCTCCCAACCTCAGGGTTGTGAAAGAAACATCCTCTTTCCTAATAGGCCCCCTGTGCTCCCACCCAGCCCTTCTCTTGGAAGGGCTTCTTCTTGCTTTCCTGCCCGAGATCTTCTGAATACTGATTCTAAGCCCGGGTCCTTTTGGTGGCCCTTCATTTTGTAAATTTCTTATGTTCATTTGTTGATTGATTGACGATTGATTGCATGTGAGAGAGCTTGCCTGTGACGTGTGCACGTCTGGAGATCAGAAAACAATTAGTGGGACCCGGGCTTGAACTCAGGGTGTCAGGCTTTGTGGCAAGTGCCTTTACTTGTCCTCTTGATAGCCCCCTTTTACATTCCTTTTTAATCTCACTCTAATGGCCTTTCTGTCCCCAGCTTGCCTGCTCTTCCGTCCATTCCAAACACACTGTCCTCTTAATGGCTTTCTGGCCTTCCAGGACTTTGCACAGATAGTTTTTGGGTGCTCAGCCTCCAGGGTGTTCCCTCTATCCTCGGATTTTTATCATGGGCTTCACTTAGAGACCCTCCTGGGTACCCTTTCTAAACTTTCACACTAGCCTAGCCCAGAGAGGTGGCAGCATTTTGCCAGTGACTCAGGTAGCCCCCAAGCTTGCCTAAGGCCACCTTCTTTCCAGTCTGACACCTGAGTGCAGCAAGTAACTGGGCTCAGTTTGCTCTAGAGAGGCAGCTAGCACTTAGGACCCTTGCCCTCAGACTCCTCTAACACCCTATTCTGCCACAGACCCGCTCCCCCTACACACCTACACACCCACCCACCCACACTCACACCCACCTCTCACACTCATACCTACCCACTCACACACACAACACTCACACACACACCCCATTCATACCTACTCACACACCCCCACACACCCCACTCATACCTACTCATACACCCACATACACACACACACTCACCCACATATCCCTCACACACCCATACATCCCACACTCATACTCACACCCCCAACACACACACCCAACCACCCAACACCCACATCGATCCACACACCTGCTCCCAGCCCTGAAAGCCCAGGTAAGAGTTAAGAGCTGCTGAAGTCTGCTGAGTCTAAGCCCCTAGCTCATGTCTAAGCCCCTCCTCAGACAACTTCC